CACCATGGAGTCAAGTTGCTGTGGGCAATAGTATTGTCCTTATTAAAAAGAAAATGCACTTTAAAAAAATCACTTTTATGTTTTTTACTTTCTCTTTTTCTGTAGATAAATATTTTGGCTCCAAATACAGTCACACTCTGATGTTCTTTTTGCTCCATCACTCTTGTGCTCCCCCCTTCCTCCTGTTAGACCTTTAGTCCCCCTTCTCTCGTCCATGCAGGAGAGAAAATGTGATGTGGGAGTGTTCTGTTTTATTTTAGTGTGTGTGTGTGTGTGTGTGTGTGTGTGTGTGTGTGTGTGTGTGTGTCCATCCACAGAGGCTAGGGACATTAAGTCCCCTGGATAAAGATGGTTGTGAGCTGCCCAGCATGGGTGCTGGAAACTGAACCTTGGTCCTCCGCAAGAACAACAGGTGCTCTTAACCACCAGGCCACTGTTAGGTCCCAGGAAGTGCACAGGACAGCCTTGGCTTAGCTCAGACTGGATTATAGAACGATTTCTGGTAGTTGAATAAAAGTCAGCATTCCCCAGGAATTCGAGAAAACCTCAGGGTTTTCTGTCCACCATACGGAGTCATTTTCCTTGCCTCTGGCAAAAGGGACATATGACTCTTCGTTGACATACACCTATGGTTGCATATCAAAGCCCATGCTGGCCACCAGGCCCCTCAGTCCCTGTTCACAAGTACCTGTTAGACATTTCAAAGGCCCCTCAATAGCATCCTTGTCCTTCTCACCTCCTCCTCTTCCCTAAACTCCCAGGCTGCTCCAGTTCACAGGCCCTCTCCCCCAACTGCCAATCCTCCTCATAACCTGCATGGCTTTCCACACCCTGCTGCCCTAGCCCTGGCCATGTCCAGTCTGCGGCTTTTCCTCTTGGCTCTGGACAATTCCAGTTGCCTCTGGATGTTCTCTCTTATTCACAATGAAACTGCGGCCATTTGGGAGGTCTCTTTACTCAGCCCCTCACTCACATATACCATCAAGCTCCAGGGAGTATTCTCTTTTTCTTTTTTCTTTTCTTTTCTTTTCTTTTCTCTTCTCTTCTCTTCTCTTCTCTTCTCTTCTCTTCTCTTCTCTTCTCTTCTCTTCTCTTCTCTTCTCTTCTCCTCTCCTCCCTTCCCTTCCCTTTCCTTCCCTTCCCTTCCCACCCCTCCCCTCCCTCTCCTCCCTTTCTCTCTCTCTCTCTCTTTCTTTTTTTACTGAGACAGGGTTTCTCTGTGTAGCTTTGGCTGTCCTGGATCTCACTCTGTAGCCCAGGCTGGCTCGAACTCCCAGAGATCAGCCTGCCTCTGCCTCCCGAGGGCTGGGATTAAAGATGTGTGTCACCACGGCCTGGCAGGAGTATTTTGTAATAACACCTTCTCCCTAGCTCCACTGCCCCTTCCCTTAGCTGTCACAACACCCACACTCTTTGGGTTAGAAATATCTTCCATGGTAATTTGGGCAAAGTCTAAATCAATTTGTAATATAGTGAGATATGCCAGCTATTTATAGCCACTGCCTTCCTCCAGTCCACCCATACTGAGTCCGCGGGACACCTTTTTCAGGGCTGGCCTTCCCGGCTCTGGCTGTGTTCTCAGTATCCTGTGGCTTTTTGATGCAAACACTAGGGTTTCCAAGCTAGTATTACTAAATAAGGGACTTTACCACCCAGGGTCCCCAAAGGAACCAGAGAGTACATTCGAGGGAGAACAAAGCCCCGAGGTACTACAAAGCAGCCATTAGGGAAAGGCACCCCTTAAAGGACAAGGCACTGACGTGGGTCTGGTGACACAGAACTGCTACCCATCCCTAAACCCAGAGGGTAGGGACCGTTGGAGCCAGTGGGGCCCAGACCCCAAGACAGAGATTTAACAGACCACCCTGAGAGAAGTGTGACCTCTGGCTGATAGGTGCAGTCGGCTTAAGACAAACCACAAAGAGAAATCAGGGAAACAAAATCACACACACACACACACACACACACACACACACACACACACTGTCCCCCCTCAAATCTGCTGAGGCTCCTATTTAGCCAAATTGCCTCCCAGGTAGGGTGGACTACCCCGATCTGGTACGGCAGAGGAAATTATCGGACACACTAAGTAAACAAAAGCAGACCACGAATGGCTAAATGATGACCAGACCGAATCAGACCGAAGGTCATTCAATTCCTGGAAACTGGGGACTATTAAAACTCCGATGATCTCCAACAACTCGCTTTGCATTTCTAGGAAGACCTCAAGCTTTTGCTTCGTGACTAGATTGTCAAAATCTGAGCGCCCGTGACTCGTGCCAACAAACAAGCCTCCCATTATCCTTTGATTCTCAATGTTCTCTCATCTGAGTATTCCGGCATGTGGCAATTTCCTACCCACAGTCTGGCTATAGAAGAGATCTCAGGCAAACAGACATTTGGGTCCCACCAGAGAACTCTGGCAGCAGGCTGTGTGGCTCTCCCCTCTCCAGTGTCCTGAGAGAATGTGTTACAGTGTACTCTTAGGGAAGAGGTGGGTGGGGAAATCAGGGAGGGCAAAGGTACAGAATTTGTTGGAAGAAACCACAGATCAAGACTAGAGACAGAGCTGGACAGTGGTGGCACACATCTTTAACCCCAGCACTTGGGAGGCAGAGCCAGGCAGATCTCTGTGAGTTCGAGGCCAGCCTGGTCTACAGAGCGAGATCCAGGGCAGGCACCAAAACTACACAGAGAAACTTTGTCAAAAAAAAAAAAAAAAAAACTTAAAAAAAATCCACCTGCCCTAACCAAACTTTTCACCCCTTTGAAAGAAGCCTTCAGACACTAGTGACAGACCAAACTAGCAGGACAGCCACAACCTTCTGAAGCCATGGACAGCAGCAGGATAGGGCTCTGTCCTGAGTTCTCTGCAGTCCTGATAAGATGGGTCCTAAGGACATTGGTTACATGGTATAACTCGAGGAGCTTCCAAGGGCCTCATAGACCCCAAATATCTCCCCAGTGAACTGAAATTCCTCTTGAAGTTTCCATCTTTTGAGTAAATCATTTATGCTGAGAACCTGCTTTTAGAAGTCTTCTGCTAAAATGTGCATGATTGCCTAAAAAGGCATGATGCTTTTTGGCTTTTGGTTTTTTCAGCATCTTTTTTCTTTCCCATGTTTGGAGACTCTGTCTGATCTGAGCATCTGCCGAAGCACAGCGCCTCCTTCCCCTCCTTTTTTTAAAAAACATCTCACCTAGAGGCCCATCCTGTGGTCGGCCAGGCAGGGTCACGGAACCTATGGTCAGTTTACCATGCACCGGCTCCAGGCCGTGCATCAGCTGGTGGCACAGGAGAGAGAATGTAGGGAGCAGTCGCTCGTGTCAGCAACGATGACTGTGGCCCTAGGAGCTGTGAACTGTGATCCACGGCTGGTTGCAGTCACATTCTCAATATCGTCGTTTCCGGCACGGTTTAGACTGTGGTCCTAATGGTGACATGTCACCCTCTGTTCCCACCCACTCCCCAAGGTGGAGCCTCAGCCTCCCCAGAGTGTTCAGAACCTCCCAAGATCCTTTTGCTTAAATTCCCATGATGCTTTAATCAGGTAGAATCAACCTTTTTTTGTGTGAGATACTCAAAGCACCCCACTGACACAAGACTGGCATACTAACTCAAGACCAGCCACAGATAAGTTCCTTTGTCAAATCCCCCCCCCCCCCCCCCCCCCCGCCCCAAACAGGGTTTTTCTGTGTAGCCTTGGCTGTCCTGGAACTCATTCTGTAGACCAGTGTGGCTTTGAACTCAGAGATCCACCTGCCTCTGCCTCCAGAGCGCAGGGACTGAAGGCGTGCGCCACCACCGCCGCCTGGCTGAGTTACTTTGTCTAACTAGCTGGTCATGGCTCTGGAAAACAGCAGGACCCCAGGGAATGGGTCTTATTAACGGGGAGATTGTGTGAGCCCGGGTTTCCGAGCAGCGGCTGAGAGGGCTCTCCTGGCGGGACAGGGCAGAGGCTTCAAGGCAGCGTCAGGAACCCAGGAAGTACTTGGCAAGGGTTACGCAGGATGTGTCACTGATAGGAAAGATGGGTGACGATAAGGGCAAAATCTAATGGCTTCTAGGGGTCGCCCCTGAGGCCATGGAATATGGTGATTAATCTAACGGACTCTAGGGGTCGCCACTGAGGCCATGGAATATGATTTACTGGGAAGGCTGCATAGAACATTCAGGGGAAACTTCCGCCTTGCCAAGTTAAGACCATTTTCTCTTTGATTTGCCTTGACAGCTCTGCCCGACATTAGTCTACACGGTAACAGAAATCAGTTTCTGTCCCCTCAGCTGCCCTCTCCACTTAGTATAATTCTTTTATGACTCAGAAAGTGGAGATGAGAAGCAACAACTGTGTGAACTCACTCTTACCCAAAGAATAGGGACTGTGACTTCACGTTGTCCCCCAGGGAGTGAGCGGCACAGGAATAGTCTGCTTATCTTGGAAGAATGCTTAGTCTGCTTTTCTTGGAAGAATGCAGGGAGAAAGGACTTCAGGAACCGGTGCTGAACGTTACTACTGTGACTGGTGTGGACTGGGAGGATCCACAGGTAGCAGGCTCCGGCTTCCTTCCTGTCTGGCATTCCTCTGCTTTGCCTCAGAGTAAGCACGGCTTTTGGGTCCCAAACAGGGAAATCAGGCTGCGCTACCATTCTCTTAGCTGGTCCATGGAAGCATCATGTCTGCCCACTAGAGACTCCAGATGTGAACCCAGAGCCCTTGGGAAGGGCCCTGCCGCTGGCCCTTTCTCACTGCAGTGGCTATCGGCCATCAGCAGAGCAGGGAGTTCACATCTGGGGCCACACCCTCCAGCAGTACCTTGGGATACATTTCTAGGATGCTGGTTCTCACCCTCCCGGGACATGCAGTGGCAGATGTATTTATTGTCAAGTAGCATCAGACTGTCACCCTTTGCCTCCATGGCTGTCACCAAAGAAAGGTCATTGAAAAATAACCCAAAGGAACCCATCAGAGGACATTACACACGATGCATTTGATTTAAAAAAAAAAAAATATTTATGAGCTGCGCCCTTTATTCTAACAGAATGTCACTTAATAAATATTTCACCAGGATGATGAGGATAAATCACAAGGGTGGGAGAAGAATTTAATGGGACTGAAGACGGGCATTTTTTAAATTTTAATTTAACCTTCGATGCGTCACACCCAGCCACTGCAGATGTGAAGACCCGTCACAGAAAAGCATCCTTCCGCGCACAGATCAAATTTCCAGCCTCGGCACGTAGGTCAGTATATGGATGACCAGTGACATCGGCTCTTGATGACCTGAAGCAAAGGCTTCTTAAAAGTGAGGAAGATGATGGTGCAGGCCACCAGCAGGGTGAGGCAGCTGGGCAGAATGAGGACGAGGTAGAACAGGCCGGTGTCCACCTGCCCCCACTTACAGTCCCGAGGCACACCTTCGGGCAGCTCGACCACTCGGACGATCCTGGAAGAGAGGTTGCACGTGACCATGGCCAAGTCTGCAACGGTCTTGAAGTGCTGCAGGGCCCCCCATCCCTCCACCCCACAGCAGTCGTAAGGGTTCTGGCTGAGGTAGATGGCCTGCAGACTCCTCAGCGGCTGCTCAGACACAGCCCTCTGGGGAAGGGCCGTGAGGAAGTTTCTGCGGAGGTCAAGAGTCCGAAGGGCCAGGCTGCCGCTGAACCTTGGGAAGCTGGTCAAGGAATTTCCGGAAAGATCCAGCTCCCTCAGATTCCCAAACCTAGAGAAGTCCATCTCTGCCGGGCCGGAACTGAGGCCCACATTCCTGAGCGCCAGGACCTGTAACGTGGGGGCAACAGCCCAGAGAGGGCTGATGCTTCCATTCAGAACCCCCCAGTTGCCAGACAGGTCTAAATGAGTGAGGGAGGTACCCTGGAATGGGCAGTCTTGTAATGCCTTCAGGCCACAGCCCTCCAGAGAAAGGCTCCTCAAGGAGGCCATGTTTCTGAAATCCACGCACCTGGAGGGCCCCGGCCAGTCTAAGGGCACCGTCCGGGGACAGAGTGAGATCTGATTGTGGCTCATGTCAATTGTAGTGATGTTGCTGGCGTGGTCGAAAAGGCCAGTGGGGACTCCCAGGAGCTGGTTGGAGCTCAGGTTGAACACTTGGAGGTTCCTGAGGCAGTCGGTGAGCCCCGGAGCGAGGCGCAGCTCTGCCAGCTGGTTGTGGCTCAGATCCAGCTCAGTGAGCGCCCCGGGGGGCTCGTGCTCCCGAATGTGGAGCATCTTCAGGCAATTTTGGTTGAGGTTCAGGTGGGAAAGGGCTGGGGTTTTCTTCAGGAAGCCATCCGGCAGGTGCCAGAACTGGTTTTGGCTCATGTCCAGGAAGCGAAGGGCTGACAGGTCGCTGGAGGCAAACTCTTCCCAGAGGTTGACCGTGGTGATGTTGGTCACGTTGCCCTCCACAAGAAGGAACTGGGCTACCATCTCCTGCGGTGAGGAGGTGTTATAGAGGTCCCTGTAGAAACCCATGTTGTTGTCCCGTAGCAGGAGGGTGTGCAGCTTGCCGCACTGGGGCAGGAGAGGGAAAAAGAGCAGCTGGTTGTGAGACAGGTCCAGGATCTCCAGTTCAAAGGCCGCCTCCTCCCTGGCTGCCAGGAACCACTCCAGGATGTTGTAACTGACGTTGAGGAACCGCAACTGCGGGAGGCTGAAGTCCACAATGCACGGGAGGTTGTTGTAGGCAAGGTTGAGACGCCTCAGTTCAGTCAGGCCGTCGAAAGCACCACCCTCAATCTCAAAGATGTAGTTTCTCTGCAAATCCAGCTCCCTGAGGTGCTCCAGGCCCTCAAAGACAGACTCATCGAGCCTCATGAGGGCATTCCTTGCCAAAGACACAGCCTCCAGCGAGGAGAGGTTCTGAAGCATGAGGGCTGCCATGTCTTCCGTCAGGGAGTTTCCGGACAAGTCCAGGCTCCGGAGTCCTAACAGGGTGTGGAGGGCTGCCGCTGTCTCCTTGTAGTTCTCGGAGAGGCGGTTGTCTGCCAGGCCCAGGCTGCGTAAGTGGCCCTGCCCTTGGAAGGCGTAGTGGCCGATACGGTCCAGGTGGCAGCTGTGCAGACTGAGGCTCTCCAGGCGTGGGTAGGCCCGGAGGGAATGATTCCACAGGACCCTGAGAGGGTTGGCATCCAGAATGAGCATCCAGGGATGCGATGGGAGGCTTCTGGGCACCGAAGCAAGGTTCTGCCCCCGGCAGTCAGCGACTCCATCCACCTAGGTCCAAAAACACGGAATTGAGGCACAGAAATGTAGTTTGCAAAAGCAGTTAGCTAGCCTGATGTTAGTTAAGTGTCCAGGAAAAAAAATTGTTAGGAAGAGCAATGTCATCGCTTCCTATAGGCTGGTCGGTGAGTCAAGGCGCATCTCACTTACAAGTGAATACGGAGTAGCTCAGTCTCCGAGGACAAAGAGAAAAGACCCCAGGAAGGGACGGCACCCGGGTTTGGAGCTAGCACTCAAGGCCGGACTTCCACTCTGCAGTATGCTGATTTGACCCTGAGAGAGGAACTAACCTCTTACAGTCTCAAATTCTTCATCTGGTTATTAAAATAAAACATAATAACTAAAAAACTGATGCTATATTGAAATATAAAAAACTGAAAAGTAACCGGGCGTGGTGGCAGCACCCAGTACCCAGGAGGCAGAGGCAGGTGGGTCTTCATGAGTTTGAGGCCAGCCTGGTCTACAGAGCGAGTTCCAGGCCAGACAGGACTATTTAGAGAGACCCTGCATCAAAAGCAGAAAAAAAGAAACTCAGATAATCTCAGCTTCTCCCTCAGATGAAAGTCGCTAACCATTATGAGTCCATTACTTGTAATTGGGCTCATAAGGTTTTTTTCTGAGTGTGATTGCTGATTATCACATTTATTATGGCTAATAAGTGTTGGCGTACCAGTTGTAATTACCAGTGTGCGCTAATTAATTAAGATGCTCATTGTTGAGCACTTGAGGTGGTTTTTTTTTTTTAATTTCAGCATAGACATTAGAATGAACTTGCCAGGCTCCTTCCTTCCTCCGCTCCCCCTCCCAAAGCCTACTGCATTTAATGATTGCATTAATGTGTGGAGAACTGACATTTTTCCAAATGCAATCTCGGCACTGAGACCGACATTAGCTCTGTATTTTCCTGTGGCCTCTCTGGAGACCACCACACTTAGTGGCTTTCCTCAGCCTGTGATGGACCCTGTTCCTCCACAGCTGCTGTAGTCCAAGGGGGTTCAGACCTTCGTAATTCCCACCAAAGTGTTGCCAAGGACCATGTGGTCACCGGAGCACACAAGAAACTTTACATGCCCATTCTATGCCAAGGTGGAACAGCTAATGTAATGAAGAGCAGTGCCTGAGCTTCCAGACTCCTCAAGTCCTAAGAGTCAAAGGAAATCTGTTCTTTGACTTCCTTGATGGTCAAGTCTCTACCACTTCCCACCAGGCAGAGAATCCAGACTGAGCCCTGAAAAGTGGCTGAAGATCTCACACTTTATTCCCTTCTCTTCCCATGCCTGGTGGCCCCCAAATAGCTACTGTGATGTTAAATCACTTGTTGCCTCTGTAAGGGAATGGTGGCAGTCACGTGTAACTGGGCTGACACTGATAATAACGTATTCATGATAACTGGCAAAAACACATGGTACTCACTGTATATCAAGCATCCTCATAGTGAGCGCTTGTTATAAATCAATCACCAAAACAGCCCAGTCTCATGATATCATTGATAGAAATTATTATTGTTATTATCATCATTATTATTATTGATAGGTCTCATGTAGCCTAGACTGGTCTTGAACTTGAAATGTAACTGAGACTGGCCTTGAACTCTTGACCCTCCTGCCTCTACCTCCTGAGTACTGGGTTGACAGGTGTGTGCCATCATGATCAGCAGATATCATTAGTATTGCTTCTGTTTTATAGATGAAGAAATTGGCAGACAGCGGCTTCAGGGTCTCCAGGTAAGCAGTGCTTTTTAAGATTAATCAACTTTAAGAACACTTTCTTCCCCTGTCACCAAATACACTGAAAAAAAATTCTTGAATGTAAGTAATCCTGTAACCCTGGCTTCCAATTTGTCTTTCCCATTCTTGGGCTTGAGGAACGCTTATTAGGCATGTGTTTCTCAAGCAGATGTTTGATATCCTTCAGGTACAGGCAATTTTCTAGAACTGAGCTCAACGATGACCTAAATCTATCTTCACGTGCAGACAGGAAGTCTTCAAAAGATGATCACGAAGGCTCAGGACACCCCGCCCATGGACCTTCAGAAGCTTAAGCTTGGTCGTGAGCATCACTCTGCAGTATGGTTTGGGTAGCTCGCTCTCTGCAGGGCCGCTGAAGCATCTGTGTTGGCTCACACATGAACTCGCAGGCAGGACTTCTCCAGGGTTGGTGTGTCTCCCTCAGTGACTCTGGTAGCATTAGTGGAGCTCATTAGTCAGGTATTCCTGCTGTTGGTGGCTGATGTAGGCCTTTTCCTGGGGCCTCTTGTCATCAGTACACATGAAAAGGTGGGGCAGGAACTTCCTGGTCCTTCCCAAGTGCCCTCTTGAAAATCTCCTGCTGAAGAGCAGTAAGCACACTGCACTAGGCAGGTACACACTGAATCAGATCCATTCACTTCATGCTCTCTTCGACTGACAAATCATGAGCTTTCCAAGCAGACCAAGCAAGCCCCATGCAGATAGGGGCAAAAGAGAGATCGCAACCAAGGAGAAACTCACCACCTTGCAGCCTCCTTGGGAAGCTGCAGCGGCCGCCCCTCCTCCGTGCCTCCATTCCACAACCAAGAAGGGAAAACCCAGGCAGAGCCAAAAGGGCAGGAACTCCATCTCAAGCACAGCACTGTGGACAGAGACCAGGACAAATTGAGAAAGACAGGTTAGCCGAGAGGGCCGGTTGTTCAGCACGGGCAGAAGGACCCACAACTACACGGAGGTAGAAAACCACAAATTATTCAAGTCTCTCTGTTCAGCCAGCGCCTTCGACCTTTCGCTGACCCTATGGGCAAGAACTCATTTTCATTTTGCCTCTGCCATTCAATGGGCAGGTGACTGACCTCTGAAACCCCAAAGGGGCAGGACAGGCGATGCAAAGGACTTGGTTGAATACCAGGCCTGAGGTCACTGACGGTTTCCTGTGCTTTGCCATTCTGCAGTTTTCCTCTATGAAGCTCATTTCTGCCTGATGCATGCATGAGCTTGAGGTACATGCCATGAATGAATGAATGAATGAATGAATGAATGAATGAATGAATAAATAAATAAATAAATAAATAAATAAATAAATAAATAAATGGGCAAAGGAAGGATACACCAGGATAGAAACACTGACTGTAGCCTCTGGACTTAGACATATTAATTATCTTGTTGAAAGAAGGCTTTCAGGCCAGACAGTGGTGGACCACGCCATCAATCCCAGCACTCAGGTGACAGAGGCAGGCAGATCTCTGAGTTCAAGGCCAGCCTGGTCTACAGAGTGAGTTCCAGGACAGCCAGGGCTACACAGAGAAACTGTGCCTCAGAAAACAACAACAACAATTTAAAAAAAGAAAGAAAAGAAAAAGAAAGAAGGCTTTCAGAAATATGTCCATCACATTGGTTCTTATTTAAATATGGCCCTTCAAAAAAGGATGTTCAGATTTTCACCTGGACAAGGAAAAAAAAACCTTGAGAAAATGCAAAAGCAATCTTTGGATAGATTAAAAAGTTCTGGGCCGGGCGGGGGTGGCGCACGCCTTTAATCCCAGCACTCGGGAGGCAGAGCCAGGCGGATCTCTGTGAGTTCGAGGCCAGCCTGGGCTACCAAGTGAGTCCCAGGAAAGGCGCAAAGCTACACAGAGAAACCCTGTCTCGAAAAACCAAAAAAAAAAAAAAAAAAAAAAAGTTCTGAAGTGCAGTTATAGCCCTCTTGTCTGGCCAATGCAGAAAGACCAGTGGTCATGGGAGGCTGGAAGTGATACAGCCATCAACAGAAGTCTCCGATGAGGAGGTGACAGCATCACCTGCACAAAAGTCGGGGGAACAGCGGTCCCGGGATAACACTGGCCTCTCCAGGGTTCCAAATGGACTGGACTGACAGCAACCCAGGTCCCCTTTCTGAGCTCCAGGGTGGGTAACTAGGGAGTCGTCCCCCACCCCACCCCCGTAGATGTAATTTCATGGACAACCCTCCAAGTGTGAGATCTGACAGCGCAGGGGCATCCCTGCCCTCCTCTGCCCCCACAGGAAGCAAGCACCTGGTCCAGAGTTCCATCTGCTCCTTCCTTGCCTGGATACCCGCAAGAAGGACCACAGGGCAGCTCTTCAGCCTCTCCCTGGGCCAGCAGCACCAGGCTGCCACGAACCTCCTCATCTTCCATGCCACCCTCAGACCTCTCTGCTCATCTTCCATGCCACCCTCAGACCTCTCTGCTCATCTTCTAGTGTGCTTACCCATCCCGAAGGGTAACTTCACATCCTGATCAGATCTGAATGTTCACTGGTAAAAACAGACTATCAGAAAAAAAACCACACATATCAACCTCAGCTTTCACTGGAGGCCAGGCCGGCCCTCTGCGCCACACAAACAACCGGGGTGGGATCAGCCCTTGACAGCCTCTGGGAATCCTTTCCAAGGCCCTCTTCCCTTCCCTGCACCTGTGCAGGAATTATTACCTCACGGCCGACACAGGGCACAGATGGCACACGCAGAGCCATCTGGACTCCTGTCCTCAGCATCCTCCAGCACTCTCCCCCACACACACACAAGCACCCCTGAAACTTTGGGATCCCCGCCCATCCTGGGGTAAGGCTGCCAGATTAGTAAATGCCAAGGACACGAAGAAACTGTTCACTCACATTCTCCTCTCACCGAGTGTCCTGCAGCTCATGGAGGAGATGGGGAAATGGGAATTGTCTATACAGTAAGTCTTTTTTTTTTTCTCCACTTCCTGTCATGCGTGGGCTGCTCCACGCAGCTGTACACCGAACACTGACAAACTAAATTTCGATGTGTGAAGAACAAGGGTACAGCTCTCTAGGGGCTCACAACACTTCAGACTGGCATGCTAGGTAAGCCTGGGCCACTACACCCACTGTAATTTTAATTTGTGAGACACCAAAATGGTTGCAAAATTTAAAGGTATTCTCTCCTCAGCCAACTAGCTCAGAGGAAAAAAAAAAAAATCTTGCCATGCCCACAAGGGCAACATCTGGCATTAAGTAACAGAATGTCATGGAAAGATTATAGAGTTTGGAACCTGGACAGTCCAGAGTTTAAATGCTGCCTCCACTCTCCATAATTTGTATAGCGTCTCCAAGACTTGGGTAATCCTCCCATAAAACGGGAGCAATAATAACCCCTCGTAGACTTTTATGAGAGCCGTTCAGGCTGCTGTATGTGAAGGTGCTTCGTTAACTGTGAGAGCCGCTAACAACCTAATTATTATTTATGAATTCCAAATAGCACTGAGCAGCTCGAGTGGTTGTTGTTCTTATGTATCATCTCTAGGATAGTACAGAAAAAAAAAAGAGTTAATACTATGGCTAGAGGGATGATGGCATCGATATACCAATATCTGAATAATCTATTCAGAAAGGCTGGATTAAAAAGTCTATATTAAGAATCAAGAATGAGCCGGGCAGTGGTGGCGCACGCCTTTAATCCCAGCACTTGGGAGGCAGAGGCAGGCGGATCTCTGTGAGTTCGAGGCCAGCCTGGGCTACCATGTGAGTTCCAGGAAAGGCGCAAAGGTACACAGGGAAATCCTGTCTCGAAAAACCAAAAAAAAAAAAAAAAAAAAAAAATGAGGCAAGGGGCTGGAGACATGGCTCAGCAGTGAACCCTGTTTACTGCTTTGGCAGAGGACCCGAGTGTGATTCCCAGTACCCATGTCATGTGGCTTACAACCTCTTACAACTCCAGCTCCAGGAGATCCAACACCTCTGGCCTCAAAGGGCACCCCCTCCAACACACACACATGTGTATGTGGTCATACCCACACATACATATAACTAAAAATAAATTTATTTTTCCTTTTTTTGTCGGGGGGAGTTTTTTTTTGTTTTTTGTTTTGTTTTTGTTTTTGTTTTTGTTTTTTCGAGACAGGGTTTCTCTGTGTAGCTTTGCGCCTTTTCCTGGAACTCGCTTTGGAGACCAGGCTGGCCTCGAACTCACAGAGATCCGCCTGGCTCTGCCTCCCGAGTGCTGGGATTAAAGGCGTGCGCCACCAACGCCCGGCTGAGTTTTAAAGAAAAGAATAGGGTGATCCGGGGGTGATGACTGGTAAAAAGCTATCCATCCTCGAGTGATGACCTCATCTTGCCTTGCTCTGCTCACTATGGCAGGCTCTGAAGGGTCCACAAGCCCCAGTGGCAGCTGGCCCACAGCATGTTGGGAGCACAGCTGGCATGTTAGAAGGCAGGAGAACGGAGAATCCAAAATATCTCTCCCTTTCCCTTTCCCCTTGAGATTTTCCTGGTGTCCCCAGACTCAGGGACCACCACCCCTCCTTCCTCCCTCCTGCCTAGGGCACAGATTCCTGCATGGCAAGAGGCTAGTATTTGTTTGCCTCTTAGCCTCTTCCATCGTTTCCTGTCTGTCTCCTGCACGACATTTCCCATTTGAAATAGTCCAGGTGACCTCTGTTTCCTTTCTGAACTACCGATGCAAATGAACATGGCCTTGAAGCTATGTTCGACGAAAATACAGAATGAGAGGTGATGGTTCCTGCTGAGGCAGAAGGATCACAGGTTTGAGGTCAACCTGGTCAACTTTTTGAGACTCTCAAAATGAAAACTGAAAACGGCTAGTGTTCTTGGGCCAGGATGTAGAGCGCACCAGAGAAGCGTGGGAGGTCCTGGGTACAAGCCCCAGTCCTATAAGAAAATAGAGGCCTGAAACCATTGAGAAAGAGTAACAAAGTAACCTTCAGTTTGGAAACACTCTTCTAGACTACGTATCTACAGAACACTCCTGAGAGACACTGCACCACAGGGTCCAAGATAAACAGCACTGCTATCTTATCTCCGGAAAAATCCCAGGAGCCTTCTGCTGGGATGCGGTTCTTCACCTCTCCACCTCTCCAGCTGTTACTACCATGCCAGCGGCTGCCAGACAACGGGCTGCAAGGTCTTTGCTGAAGGAACTATTATCAAGTGTCATACATGCATTACCACATAATTAACTTTCTCCTCAAATGATCAGAAAAGCCAAAGAAGCCTTAAAGAAAGAGGCTTTGTGGAGAAGGAGGCAGGCAGCCGGCAGAGGTATTTTGTATTAGAGACAAGTGTTTATGGATTGGGGGCACGGGGATCATCAGAAGCAGGTATACAGGGTCAGCGTGTGAAGGTAGCACCCATGAATACACAGAGCGACTATGTGCCAGAGAGGGGCTCTGAGGGAAAGGAAGTCTGCCTCTGTGTGAAGGTAAAGGGCGACCGCCCCCTGGGATCTTGGAAGAAAGGGGAGGGCAGCTGGTCACAGACTACAGAATAAAGGACATTAGCATCTCCAACGTGACTACATCAAACGGCCCGGGTGCCAGGGAAGCACCCACTGTGGAAAGCTCCAGGCAAGCAGGTTGGCTGGCTTTGATTCTTAGCACCAGATTCGTGGGACTCCAACCTTCAGGAAAGTTCAAACCTAACAACTCCCAATGTGAGCCCTGAGCTCTGAGCTCCAGATGTGGTACATCAGAAGCGCAACACTCTGTTCTCACAGCCCCCGGCGAGAGAGTGCATGCCCCGAATCCAGTCAATACAAAAACCCCATAGATCCAAGCTGTACTGCCCTACAAAGCAACTGACTTGGACCCTTCAAGGGTCAAAGTCTTGCCCGGTGTAGTGATTCACATTTATAACCCC